GAGAAAATTCTGGTCCTGTATCACCCACGTGATAGGACATTAGGTTTTGTCATGCATGGATACTATACAGTGTCAATAGCTGTGTATTCCTTCTTGAATTCCTTCTCATCATCAAGAATCAAAGGCCATCAGAAGGGCAGAAAATCAAATGTACAGAAGTGCACTTCCTGCTTTGTATTTATACATTAATGGCTGGATCGCGAGAGTTCATTGCACGGCTACTGCAAAGAACAGAACGAAGGAGTAAAAATCACGTTTTGAGCCATCTGCAATGCAGGTGGAATTCTGGTGTCATTTTTCATGCAGTTTGTCACTTAAATGAGATGTAGTGACCTGAATACTTTCAGATGGATTTCAGGCTGCCTGAGTGGAAGATCTCAGTATGTTTAAAAGCACCTTTTTTCTAATAAAACAAGTATATGTGAGAGTTGAGCTTGACTCTGTAATTAGGCCTCAATTAGGATTTTGATACTAATTTAGTAGTAATGCATTCCACCCAAAAGTTTAGAATAGCAGTTTAATGGGTAGGCATACAGAGGCACAACTTCTGTTTTTCTGCTACTTTCAAGTCATTTCAGGAACTACAAAACTACTTCTGTAGGAAGTCAGTTATTTCACTTCTGCTGTAACTCAGATACGGAGTTGAGTAGCAAGGGCAGTTTCTATACAGAAGATCTAATGAGAAGGGCAAAACACAGTCTCTGTTTGAAGACTGGACTATTCCAGGTCTTCTAGAATAAATTTAAATAGGAAGGATGAATAAAAAATAAGATGGAGATATATTTGAGGAAGGAGTAAGCTCTGTGATCTGCAGTCTTGCAGAAAAAAAGTCCAATCTAAGCAGAAAGCTTGAAGGTTTTTCAGCTCTTACCCTGTGAGAGCGTAAAAACACGAGGATACAAAAGGAATTATATCTTAACAAGTGCAAAGAAAAGTTACTACTAAAACTTCCTCTAGTCCAAGTGAAATTTAGAATTCGATATAAAATAACACTTCCTGTAAAAGTACTAATGGGAAACATGATATGCTGCCTTTCTTGGCTGACAGAGCAGAAAAGAAACTTCAGAGGACTTATTCTTGTTTTTTCTTAAGAGCTAAATTGGGAGAAGAAAGGGATAAATGTTGAATGTATTGACTGAGATGTCTTGTAACCTGTGAACACAGCTCAATGTATAGAACAATATGCCTATTTTTGCTTATCTCGCACAAAAAGTTTAATATTTGCTCTCTTACTTCCTTAATAAGGGTGAGCGTTACAGCTTTAAAAGTTTCTGAATGAAGTCATGTATTGGGTCTCTGTATCCTGTGGCCATCAACTATCAGCCACTACTCATGTTGGGGTCTGACTACATTGTACTGATGCAATCGGACTATAGCACCAGGTGGGAGGATCGCTTTTCACTGGGAGAAAGAAGAATGAACTACTCTAATGCACCAGTACAGGGGAGTGCTGAGCACAACAAATAAGTAGCTGTCCTTTGAAGCTTTTTTCTTTCAGTGGTTAAACTCCCTGCTTAAATGCTTATGCTATACTTGTCAAGAAAGCCACGAGCTTTAAACAATTTTCTAATTTACAATACTTCTTCCTTCCCCCCTGCCACCAAGACACTCAATTTCCAATACGCTATTTTAGAAAGGAAAATTTTAGCAATAAGGCATCTTTTATTATGGAGATGTTATGCTGTTTAGAAAATCAACAAAACAAACATATTCTGGAACATTTTGTAGTGCTATTTTACTGTTATCTGATGGTTTTTCATCAATTTTTTGTGACTGTTGACATTAACAATAACTGCTAAGCATATAATTTGTGGAAAGAAAAATAAAAAAAATAAATTCTGCATGATTTTGTCAATTTGTATTAAATGCTAAGTGAAGCTTTATACAAGCATTCTCTTGCACAGATTTCTCAGTACCCTGACCCATGTTACAACAAAGAAATTTCCGTGGTTACAGTACTGAGTGAATACTGGAAAACTGTAAATTGTTAACATTGATTTTATCTGTTTTCACATTTCAATTTGAAACATTGCAAGTATAAAATATGTAGTTACAAAGTAAATATTTAATACTATGCCTCTTTTTCATACTATAACACTTAAATACCTAGCTTGCTAGTAAAATCAGAACTCTATTTACGTCTTCATTTATTGAGATGTCTGTACAAACTATATTAATATAATAGCTTTAATGGTATAAATTCCACTATAATTATAATATTTACCATTAGAATGGTAAAATGCAACTAAACTAGGAAATGCACAAAAATAGAACTGACACTTGTGCTACCTTATCTCCTTTTTTTAAGTTAGGTGATTTTACTGTTGCTTTTCTGCCCCTGCAAAAGTTTTTGGAAGGGCTCCTTCTCTTTCCC